GAAAATAAACGTTAAAAAACCATTTTTGTCGATGAAAATTATGAAAATTGCATCAAAAGCCAAAAGTATCTCAAACGAACATTCAAAATTACCTGCCACATTAGAAAACTGACTGGGGTTTTTGGAAGTGCTACAGCCAAGTCGAATTTTCAAAATATTTTGCTGAACTGAACTGACAAATTATGCGGGCTGGGGCGTCTCATGAGAATAAAAACAATTTGGAGGAAAGCTCAACCGGACGATAGTCCGAAAAAAGAACAAAAACTCCAGTTTGCGAAAAAGGATTCGAAACACAAGCTTTTGCCGTCTACAGCAGTTGTGTTATTTCTACGCCAGATCCGTCGGATGGTTGATTGGTTTTGATTTTGTAATTACCAAGCGGTAAAAAAAACAGAAAGTACGTTATCAGAAATCCTCCATGCCGAAAAAAATTTCAAAAACTTAAAACTGATAAAGATTTCAAAACTTTTCCCCCGGATCAAACAAACACGCACACCAAAATTGTTTGGTCCTCAAACAATGTAAACAAGTCAACTAAGTTAATGTAAAATAAGCGAAAAATTTTTCAGTCGAAAAAGGCCAAAAAAATACAAAAGGAAGAAATTTTAACAAATCGATTTGGTAAAATACAACCAACAAAAAAAAATTTTGGTTAGGCCGTATGTTCTAAACGCTATAAATCCCACAGGATGTCTGTTGAAACAGAAAGGCTCAGTAGCAAAATTAGAAGAGGGAGTTAGTTAGTCCTGTGAATAAAGATATTTACTGGAAAACAGTTATAGTACACGGTTGCAATTTATCTCACGTGTAATTAACATAGAGTAAATAACGGTGATAAACTCAGTCCTGATAATTCTAAAAATTCAAATTCGAGTCATCAGAATATTAGTTCAGATGTGTCTAACAAACACGGGAATTGTTTAATTGCATCGATGCTATCATCTAGCTACGTTTATTGCAAAAAAAGACGTTCTTAGTTTTGATAATGAGTAGCCTTTTTATGAGTTTGACCACATTCCGACCCTTTGCTTGCAATATGTTACGACCAAGGGGTTTCGATCACGTTGTGACTATAATTCGACTTTATGACCTCATGTTTTTCGTCCCTATGTTTCGAACTGGTCTTTAGAGGAAGAATTGTTCTAAACTCGGATTAACAGTCCATGAATGTGATCAATTTTAAGACAACTTTTTTCGGTTCCAGTTTGATTCCAAAGCAAAAGTATGAATTGGCAAAAATCCTATAATGATTTGCTAACTTACGATTAGCTTCAATTATACTTTTGATGAAGTTTCGTCAATTTGCGTTTGCTCTTTTTTTGAAATTCCCAGAAAAAAATCTTAATTTCAAAAACTGTAAAATCATTTGAAAAACAGCGCCATTTTTTGGAAGCGAAAACTGAGACAAGCTAAAAAATAATTTGAAGAACAATCAAAAGAAACATGCAATTGTTATGTTTTACTTTGAAGGGAGTGCAGCATCATTCTCAGGTCAGAAAGAAATCAGCGCCAAAAATGGTCAGTTAAAAACTCAAGTTTTGCCCCAATTACAATTTAGTTTCAAGCGTTTTTTTGTATATCAGTGTGATTAGTGACACCATGATTTTTTCAAGTAATAAAGTAAAAAAAAACGGCCCCAGTGAACATTTTTTCTTTTTCATTAACCAAGTAACAGTTAAAAAAAATGATAATTTAAGGTAGTGTGCCAAACACGCAATATGCTGTTTGGCACACTGCCTTTTTAAATTCTGAGTGGCTAAAAAAGAATGCAAAGAGTTTCATTCTATATTGACTGAGTGCTAAAAATTTTCATTTGGTCCAGAACAGCCCTCAACAAAATAATTTATTTCAATTAAAACAAATGGAGTAGAAATCACGTGATAAATATTTGTTTTTTTTCTGGACTCAAAAAAACCTTCAAATTTTTTGGAAAAAAAAGCCAAGCTTTCTTCAATTGTCTTACGCAAGTTGTTCAAGGTTTTATATCTGAAGCATGAAAACAAAAAAGAATGAACTTTACTTAGAGTGAATTTTATTGTTAAAATGTTTTTCTAACTACTCTATGTCATGTCGGCTCTGGAAGGTTCATTTACATACATGATTTTTAATTTAGGTAAAATGAGGCGAAACTCCAACATTTTTGTATAAAAAAGTGTTGAAGGACAGGTGCCCCGGGTTGACATTGCTGGAATAGTCCTTCCTGACACAGAATTATATCATAAATGAATACTGCAAACATTTTGGTCATGGCACAGATTTATATCATAAATGAATGCTGCAAACATTTTGGTCATGGATAAGTTACCGTTGATCAAGGCCTGAAACAGCAATATTTGTTTTATGTACATTCCCCATTCTCGTTCAGCTCACCTTATTTTTTATCTGCTTGAATTTTTGATTGAAATGCCTGGCCGTGTTGTTTGACTTTGGTTGGCCAAATATTAGCCAGCCAGATTCTACCGCAGAAAATAATTGAAAAGTCAAAACCGTTTTGCTTCATTCTTTTTCAGCTTGAATGTAGTTTTGAAAATTAGGCTCTAGCCTTGACTTCAGTTTAACAAATGAAACTAGTTTTTGGACTTTTTTAGCTTCAATTATCTCCCAAAAATTTTTTTTTTAAATTTCAATTTTTTTTTTCCAGTTTTTCTAGTCATTTTTCTACAAAAACTTTTGTCCAAATGCCTTTGTTACTATGACTATCTAGTATGCCTATATCTTGCTTTTACGCTAGAATTTTTTATCAAACCAAGCAGAAAAACTACACTAATTTGGAAAAAATTCTGAACCGTAGTTTTTTAAACGACTATGCTCGGAACAATCTGTGCTACTGGCACAGTAACCGGCTATCCTTGTTGAATTGAGAAAATTTTTGCGACTTGCTACTAGCTAATCTAAATTACTTTTACTTTTGAGTTCAAATTTACTTTTGCGAGGAGAAAATAAAAATGCTATTATCTGTACAAAGCCCTGAACGTTCCAACTGCATTTTAAGGTAAATGGAGCAGTGTTCATTTTTTGAAAATGGGTGACATTTAAAACTTTTTTTTTCTAAATTCAACTTTTTTGAGCTTTCTTAAATCATCTCCTCATACACTATTTAAAGTACAAAGTGATATATTTCGCTTATGATGAAGTGTTTAATAGACCAAATAGCTGGTCTCAATTCAGTTTGGAATGATTTCCTAGGACAGATTAAATCACCACTCACGCAATGGTAGCGCGAATAATATCGCACGTTTATTGTTCCAAAATGGCCGAATTGGCAATTTTTAAACCCCCATAGTTTCACGAGAAATGATCCAAGCTGAAACATTTGCTTTAAATTTGAGTTCAATAGAACACTTATTTCCAATGATCAAAAAAATCCGTCAAAAACTTCCAGTTGAAAAGTCAAAACTTGCCTAGAGAAAAAAAACCGCCGAGCACAAATATTCTGTCATTTCCTTCGAAATCAATTGGAACAAAAAATGCATTCCCCAATTGATTTTTTTTGTTCCGAAATCCCATCTGATCTGACATAATTTTTAAGTAATAGCATAATTCATTATATAAAATAAAGTTTTGGCATTTAAAGTAGTTTTGGTTCTACTTAACAATCTACCCCTCCCCCTCTTATGGTATCTGAAGAATATCTACATCTATAAATAAATACAGTAATTTAGCACTAGAGCTTGTATTGAGAATTCGAATTTTGCAGCATTCTGATTAATCGAAAAATCGACCATTTTGATCTACTTAAAAATCTCCCTCTTTCTTGAAGGGGCTAGGTTGTTCAGTAGATTGGATCTTGTTAACTATCCCCCCTCCTTTGGACCTTGTTAACTATTTCCCCCCTTTTTGGACCTTGTTAACTATTTCCCCCCTTTTGGACCTTGTTAACTATTTCCCCTATGCATGTATTATTTTTGACAACCATTTTTATATAAAATATGCATTTCAAAGTGTCAACCATTAAGTGGGTTTTCATTTTCGCGCGTTGGTATTTGTATTACTCACTATTTATGTAATACCCACGTAAAAATTTTTATTAATATATTTTTTCTGAAAATTGTTTCAATCTATTGAAAATGTGGCCGCCAGAGTTGAATTTCTGAAAATCGAAATAGGGGGGGATAGTTAACAAGATCCAGTAGACCCGCCGTTTTAAATTAAAATTCCTTCGGACCAAGTTAACATCCTCCCCCCTACTTGATCCATTCCTTCTAATTGTACTAAAACAACTTTTTGCGCCTAGAGAACTGTCGTGGTTTTTGTGTCTGTACGTTCCTGGATTCCAGAGACAAATCTTTAAACATATTAAAATTTTATCGGAACGATCAAAGAAAACGGAAGACAAAAAGAAGAACGTCCTTGTTGCGGTATCCGATTACAAATCACAAAATGCGCAGTTTGGCTCGTAATGTGAAAATATATAGTATAATTTTACCATTTCTCAGAAAAATCGCTTATACAGTTGCATATGTTATTCTATGGTGGTTTTTACGTCATCGACTATTGATTGTAATTGTAGAATGTATAATCCGCAAGCAAACTGTGGGTGCCGGACATCAAGCCGACGGGACTTCAAGCCGAATCGTAAAATTAGGGACTTCAAGCCGAAAATTTTCTCATTAAGTCATGAAATAAGGTTATTTTGAAAACTTTTTTAAAAGAATTTCTCAATTTCTTGGTCTTTATTCGGTAATTAATAGCGTTTTCACGAAATTTAAAGCTCCAAATGAAGTATAGGAAAAGTGAAAAATAAAACACGGTTGAAGGTAATTTTCTTGTTTATAATTTATGCATTTCAAAAAACGGCTGATATTACAAACTTATGCCAATCATAAGTAATTCATTGTCATAAATAACGCTTATTATGGACTAAACTAGCCTGAAATTTTGAAAAGAAACGTTTTACAGATGAAAAAAATAATGGTTTGAGGTGCTTGTAAAGTTTAATTTTCGGCCTGAAGTCCCTTCGGCTTGAAGTCCCGTCGGCTTGTTGTCCTAGACCCGCAAACTGTATGGTAAATGTTCTTGAATACTCTTTCATGTTACCATATTGCCAGCCTTATTCAACATAATACCATAACACATCAAGCTCGATCTGCATCTAAATTTCAACCAAAATTATTCATCATTTGTTCATTTATTTCTCCGTTCATTTAGAAAAGCTTGAAAACCGAAAAAAAATATGCGTTTTTCAATCTAAGAAATCAAAACGTTTACTTTGATTTTAAGCAACAATTTTCGTAATTGTTAAACTACGTCGTGCACGCAAAATGAGAGGCTCATCTCACAATGGATTTTATCAGCCTAACAATACGTACAACAAGCTCACTTCTGAATTAAACAAGCTCAAAGTAAGGAACTTCAACCCGGGAGAACTTACCATATTCGGTAACAATCAAATCGGACAGGGAAGCAGGAGTTCCGTTTTCGAAGCGAAGATAAATCAATCCGGTGAAAAAATTGCCGCGAAAACTCTTGATGTTTTCGGAAGGAATCGGAGAACTGCAAAAAAACCTGATGATTTGCTGTATTATATTGACATCTTTAACTCAATCAACCATGCAAACATTCTGAAGTTTATCGGAGTTTCATTTGATTCAAACACGTTTTACGAGCTAACTGAAATCTGCGACTTTGACCTTGAAAAGTTTTCACACAATTATTTTTTTCAAGGTCAACAAAGTTTCCCAGATGCAACTTACAAGAAAATTCTGACGGATACTTGTGAAGGTATGAGTTATTTACACGGCGCTGGAGTTTTACACAGAGATCTGAAAGCCGATAATATCTTATTGAAAAGGGCTGCTGATGGAGTTTCTTGGATTGCGAAAGTTGCCGATTTCGGGCTCGCAAAAAGGGTCGGATCCGACAAGAAAGTTCCTCGAGGTCCAGTCAAACTGAACCCACCCGAAGCTCTCCTTTGCATTTGCTCGGGTTGCAGGGTCGAAAATAACCAAGATCCAATAAGCTTGCATTTATCTAATCTACAAATTGGGACATCAAGTTCTACAAGCGTTTCAAATCATAGGTCCCAAGGATGTCAGCACATTTACCCATTTTACACTCAATCAGATGTTTACATGTTTGGTGTTATGGTGTACTGCATATCGCATAAGAGAGATTTCTTTGGCAGAGAACGGACAGGACAGATAGCCGAAAAAGTGAAATTTGGTCAACGGCCTGTTTTTGATCAGCGACGGGTTTCGAATCAACTGATTAAAATTATTTCTGATTGCTGGGAACAAGACTACACGAAAAGGCCCTCTTTTGAAAACATTTCTCTTCTCATAAACTCATTTTGAGCATACCAAAAACCGATTGAGTGACAAAGTTTTATTACAGAAAGATGGAATTGAAAAATTATGTAATTTACAAAATACAAATAAATTTACGATCATTTTGCAAGCCTAAATTGTAAATTCAAATTTGACTCTTGTTAATTTTTTTGAGTCAAAGCACTGAGAAATTAGGTATGAAAGATAGGTAGCTCATAGCAACAATTGTCATGCTGTCAATTTTGACAGCAAATTTATAAAAATTGACTTTTTTGATATTTGGTAGAAAATGAATTAAGACCGTTATTCGGTCTGACAACCGGTTTTGGCGATGTTGTGATGACTTCACATCTTTGTGCAATGACGTAACACTTTGATGTTGTTACGCAACATTTTTCCTCCGGTTTATGATGTCATTTGCAGACGCCATTTGTGTTTGAATTGATGGCGATGACGTCACAGTTTCTTAGAGTAGAGACTGCTCTGGTGTTCCTGGTTGTTGGAGTTTGAATTCACTGTAAGGTTGCACCCGGAGCCCCGACCCGACTCCAGATTCGTGCAGTCCGAGACACTCTCGTGATGCGTTTCGGCTAAGGAGTCGTACCTGAAAACGAAAATCATTTAAATTGATCTCGTGACATGGAATCATCTTAGGTAGGGTTTTGTGAATGATTAAGATTAAATAATATCGTGTTCAAAAAAGAAAAAGCGTATCACAAACTGTTTATCTCCTTACGCGGAAACGTCTTTAGTTGCCTTAAATAAAACCAAGATAGAATCTATCAGGGATAGGGCCCGGGGAAACGTCGCTTCAACATGATGCGTGGCAAGCACGCGGTTCTTGGCGAGACTCGAACTGGTAATCTTTTGGGGGTCTTTTGCACTAAACGGCACAATTTCATGATTTCTACATCTCTTGAACTGAAATTATTGTGGATGAATTTGATTGGCTAATTAGCCAATCAAGTTCCATCGACAATTTCTGCCACTTCAATTGAAATTTCAAGCAGATAAAATTATAAGCCGAAATGATAAAGAAAATTGAATTTTGTTTTGTCAAGCCATTTTACTGAATTTTGCTTGTCTGGGCAAGGTTTCAAAAGTGACTCAAAATTAATTTGATAATTTGACTCGAAGTTCCACCTTTTCGGCAATTTCGGCTAATATTTTTATCTGCTAGAAAAGTTGATCGGAATGCCTGACCGTGTAACTTGAATTTGATTGGCTAAAATTACCCAATCAAATTTGATCGCATAATTTCCAGCTTACGATGTAGAAAAATTAATTTTGGGCCGTTTAGTGCATAAGACCCTCTCTTGGTTCCAATTTGCCTTTTCTAAGCAGAAGACGTTCGTTTCTCACCTGTTGAGCAGACTCTGCTCCTGCGAGTGCTGACTCATACTGAGGGGGTTAGTAGGGGGCATGAGAAGGGGTGCCTGGACGTGGTGGTGTTGCACGGGGGTGCTGGACCTGCTCTCGCCGGAGAAGTAGCTCTCGCCTGTCCTGCAGTTGCCCTGTCTCGACTTCTGTCTGATCTGATTCTTGTAGGACTCCTCGTTGTTGTTACTCATTGCTTGTACGGGCGGAGAGTCAAATTGGGAAGTGCGAACTCCAATTCCACCTGAAGAAAAGAGCAAAAACAATGACGTTTGCGATATAAACACATCGATTCGTAATTTTACGATATAAACACATCAGATTTTTTTGTGACATATATATATTTTTATATATATACTTTCAGCTCAATTCGCCTATTCGAATAAGAATCATTTCTGAAAGGGCAAACGCTATTCAATTAGGTAAAACGTGTCATCTTAAATAAGTGGCTCGGCTGTTAGGGATTCAACATACCAAAACCAACGCAATTAGTTTTCGGGTTGAAAACATGAACGTGGTAAAAAAAATAGTAGTAAGACTTGTAGAGTTTTTAATCAACCAACCATACATTTTTTATGGTCGGTTAATTATGGAAAAAGTACGGAAAAATTACTAAAACGAACATTTGACCATGTAGTTTAGAAACAAATTTTTGAGATTTTTCTGATCTTCGGTCAAACAAATTTTCTGATCTTAGATTTCTGGTAAATTGTTATGCGACGAACTGTACTACCTAGGTTACTACTTGATGATAATTATTGGCCGTACAGTATCTATTATCCTCGATGCTGTAATTGAGATTTCGCAATAAACAAGTTTGCAGGCTTTGCTTTCAAACAATTTTTGTAACTGCATCTAAAAAAATTCAACTTCAATTGTCATTTTTAATAATACCAATAACTGCCGCTTGCGAGGAAATGTCGCCTCACGTTTCGGCGACAGAAATTTTTTCAAAGCTTACATAATTTCATGAAAAAAGATGAAAAACCTTTTAAGGCAAAGCAAAAAATGGCAAAAAAACTGCAAGACGTCTTTTCATGTTAAACATTCAACATTTCTATTATATTTTTCAACCTACGCTTTTTAGAAATTATTCTACTTCACAGTGTGTAGGCGAAAAAATTACACACCGCCCACATTTTCAGCTAAACTTTCACATCCATAAACGCTTTAATTGATACTTAGTCATTTCTGTTCATGTGTGTAAAAGAGACAACAGGTAATTAAAAAAGGGCAGGCGCCGAATGACACTCCGGATATTCAGATTTCCCCGGGGATTAAAAATACGTCCCCGCCTATTAGTTTACAAGGCTTGCACTGCTGACAGAAAGTAAACAGTATAAAGTCAACAGGTTTATTTAGGAGCTGAGTGTATGATGAGTATGTGTATTTGTTTGAAGATGCTAAATTGTCCAATAACCCCCCCCCCCCCCCCCCAAAAAAAAAAACAAAAACTAAATAGTTTCATTTTAAAAATGAGCTGAACTGTTGAAAAATAAAAAAAACATTATATGACAAGCTTTTTCATTTTCATATAAATCAAACAGTTGTTTCCAAAGTCACTTCATTTAATTTTCTGCGGAAATAACTCTAGTCTCTTAGAAATGTTACGTATCTTTTTTGTCGCATTTTAAAGACAAATATACCGATATTTTTCCGAAGCTAAAAAAATAGTTGTTGCCAAAATATATCAAAAACCGGAAAATATTTCATCAATCAACGTAAATCAACATTTTTCATTTTCATGCTATCAATTTCAAGTTCACACAGTACGATTAATTATTCTCTCATTAAATTTAATTTGATTTGACCTTGAAAACTTTGATAAAAAGGAATAATTCAAAACTTTCCGGCAGAAGCTAAAAAAACTATTTGAAATTTTGGCTCTCTTAGCTATGTCCCCCTCTGGTACCTAGTAAAGAATATCCCCCACCCTACAAGAAAATGTATCAACGATTAAGCATATGAGAATTTTATACCTAGTAACAAATCTCTCCCCCCTTGCAAAAGGAGGATATAGTTAAAGAGATCCGAAATTATTAATTATTATAATGAAGGGGGGGGTGTGAGCATGATTTGCCTACCGTTTGGCCACTGGGCCGACCCCCTGTGGTGCACGGGAGGTCCAGTGAGGTAGAGGGGGTGCCCGGCTGCAGCTGCCAGTCCCGGGTTCACTCTGCAGGCGGGGTCGAACTCGCTACTCACCCCGTGCATGCGGGTGGTGACGTCATCACTGTGGGTGCTGGCTGCAGCACTCCTCTCGAACAGGTCAATTCGGTTCATCTGCGGTGGCGATCCGTGCGGGTAGTTACCACTGAACAAATCAGAACGCAAAAATTACATACATTCTAACTATTAAGATTTGTGCAATAAAGACAAGAAATAGTCATAAAAATTTCAGCATTAATTGAAACCATATCCGATCATACTAAGCAGATCAAAAAAATGTCCCAGACAAATGGCGTCTTTTTCTTTGAGTTACAATAAATCTGTAAATTGAATTTGCTTTTTTTGCTTCGTTCTTCCAAAATTTCAGTGAGAAAAAACTTCATGCAAAAGTGATATCTTCAACTATATTCCCCCACCGCCCCCCCCCCCCCCACCGCCGTACCTAGTAACGAATATCCCCTATAAAGAAATAAATCAACGGTTAAGTATATCAGAATATAAGGAGTACATATAGTTAAAGAGATCCGCAAAAACTATCACATACTCTTGAAAACTAAATGTTGTCATAAACAGTCGATGACTCACAAGTATCGGCTGTCCTTGTCGCCGATGTCGGACCCCCCTCCCGGGGGCCACCGGTCGGATCCCCCCGCTGGGAAGTAGTAGCCACTGTCCTGGTACAACATACCCGCGTGATCTAAACACAGGAGACTCTTTTTACGACACAAAATAAGCTAAGTAATTCAATTGTCAAATTCAGATTAATAAGGCTGATTGGGAGCAGATAGGCATCTTTACTACTGGTTAAGCTAAAGCTATTTGCAGCAATCATAAGCGAATAAAATTTATTGTATTGTCAAAGAAATGGTTCATACTTGTTTTGACTTAAATACTTTTCCCCAGAAGCGTGCCGGGTGTGAGGGAGGGGGGTGGGGGTGGTGGGCGCGGTGGGGGCAATCGCCATTTACCTCACAATTCTGGTTGCCAAATTTTTCTAAAGGGTCCCCCCTTTGGTATTTCATTACGAAATCCATTTTTGGTTGACCAATCTTAAAAATTTTCAAAGGGCACCTTCGGCGCAGTATAACCAATTTGAAGGAGTCTTTTTTAGCATGTTTTTTTTTAAATTTGCCTGCGGCGCAGAAAATTTTTGGGCAAAAAAGGTCACTAGTGTTTTCGGATAGCTCGGAAAATCAAATTGATCGACCTATAAACTCAAAATTTCCAAAAGTTGTCGAAAATTTTCTGCGCATGCCACTGTTTTTTCCCTAAATTGTTTGCGCACAGCTCCAAGTCCCTCCCCCCCCCCCTCCTCTACTTCTTCTAACGACCTCTTTACTCCATTTTTTATGCTATTTCCTGAACAATCCATACCAAGTTCCACATCCGTTTCAGCATGGCCGTTTTTATGACTGAGAAACAAGACCGTTAGTTACTTGAAAAGAGGTCGAAAAGTGTCATGTCGGAGGGGGGGGGGGGGGGTTGGGCGGAGGGGGGTTGGGAGGGGTGCGAAAAAAGAGGGTAGAAATCCGGAATAAAAAAGTGAGATGGGGTAAAAACGAGAATAAAAATCCATTGGAGTATAAAAGATGGTATAAGAGCGTATGGGGAAAAAGAAATTGAGTTAAGTGAAGTACTAAAGGGCGTAATACGACACTAAGCAAGAAAAAAACTAGCAATAGTCGACAACTAGCAGAAAAATACAGGTAGAAATAACAGACAATCCGCATTAAAAACAACTGGCAGATTACTCTTCGCTGCCGTCGCGCCAACGTGTCTCGAGTTTACTAACGGATGGCAATTCTTATACAAAATTTAGAGTCGATTATTGCCGCGAAGAGGCGGAGCGTGCAAAGCGTGCCCACCGACGAACTAAACTTTTTTAGTTTTCAAACCGAGCTAAAAAAATTTTTAGTTTTTTTTTTTAGTTTTCAAGCCAAGCGAGTTGTCGTTCTTCTTAAATTTTGATAGTTGTCGTTCGTTACGACTTGTCTTTTATTGCAAATTGTCGGGTACTGCTAACAGGGTAAAAAGGAAAACACTCCAAGAGAATTTTTTTTTGGCTGAACATCGCAAAAGTTTTAATTTTTGTTCACGAACATTCAGGTAGCACAGACAATTATCAGATGGGCTCTAGGATTATCTAATATTAAAGTGGTATTTTCAATGGCAACATCGGAAAAGGTGAAACTATTGCTAATTTTATTATTTTCATGCTCAAAAGTATCCACGTAGTGTGTATATATCATTTAGGTCAAAAATTTGAAGAAAAAAAAGAAATAAGTGAAGCTTTTTTAAAATCGTTTTCCGAATCAAAGTTTGATTTTCTATTACAACTTGAAAAACTTTTTTTTGTAATTTTTAATTAAGTTGCAAAAAATAATCTTATTCAAATAAAATTTGAAAGAAATATTTTAAAGGTAACAAATCTTACATTCCCTTGTATTAACATAAAAATGTACTAATTTTGGCAAAAATCTAGGTAGAACCAAAATTGTTTATCATATAATTTTGATAGAAGGAAAAACGATAATCCTAAATTTTGTATACTTCCATAGCACATAAAATTTTAAGAAAATTCTACGACAAGCATTTCTCATAAATAGAAATTATATGAATAACCTTTTTTTATATATGAGATTTTTTTTATATGTATTTTTCTTTTCAGAAATACGAATTTTGTTTCGATTTCTGTTTTGACCGAAAACACAATAGCCAAGTTTTTCTTTTTGTTAGAAGACCAATAGGTTAAGTGGCGAGACTCGCACGCACAGGTGAACCTCAATTGAAAATTCGCCAGAAAAGTTGACGTATTAAGTTTCAATCATTGAGTTATAACTAAAAACCTTTTGTATATGGCTTGACAAGAGAGGATATAGAATTTTTTCGAGAGGAAGAGAAGAACTGCAAAAAATCCGGAAAATGGTCATCTTTTTTCTTTTATGTAGTGCAACCAAATTGATGTGCCAGGCTCTCAATAGCACTAAAAGGGCAATGTTTGGGCCAATTTTTACTCTAGTAGAGTAAAAATTTACTAGTCTGCTTGAAATGTTTTTACTCCAAAAAAATGTTGATCTATGTGAAAATATGAAATTTTAGGGTTCGACTCATAAAGTTCATAGTTTTCGGAAATCAGCTCTTTGAGCATAGAATTTTATTTTGCAACAAAAAAATTCATCAAAAATTTGCAGTTTTTATCTTCAAATTGTGAATTTTCAAACCATGTTTAAAAATGCCTATCAAACAGTTTTTCATGTATGGAAAAGGGAACATGATAAGCGTTTTTTATATACACGCAATGTAAAAAAAATTGTTATGATAAAGCATTTTTCTTGCATGAAATTGTATGACAAGCATTTTTGTGTATGGATGTCAATCATGATATTGCTCTTTTCGGTCGTGATTCAATCTAATTTCAATTATAAAACATTTTTCAGTTTTTGGCTTGAAATTTCTGTTTCATAGACAAATATGAAGTGAAGAATCGCTCTTGTTGCTTCATAAATGAGCTCAGTTTTTTTTAATCTCTGATGAACTTTTAATGTACCGGCTTTCGAATAAAAGATGAATATTTAAGCTCCGTGTAGTTTTTTCTTAGAAAAACTTCGAAATTTTTAACTTGCAACTTTGAACGAAGTTTTATACAGTTTCAAATGTATTGATGTACCGAGCTCAAGTATGAAATGATATTTTACTTGTGATAATTTTTCCTAGTTTGTGATGGATTGAAAATTGCCAACTTGGCTAGTTTGGGACAAATAACGCACGATATTATTCGCTCTATACAAGCGTAAGCGGTGATTTAATCCGGCTCATAAATTGTTTCATTTTGTCTTGAGGCAATCTATTTGGAACTAAATATTAAGTTGTTCCTAGACGCAATTTAAGAGACTGCAAACTTAACGTGTAGGGCGAGTATTTGCAAAAAAACGGAAAATTAGGCATTTTACTTACTTTTAAAAAAGTTTAATCAGTTAATGAAATTTTTTAAAAGTTCACTTATTTTATAGATCTTGAGGGGGCAATCAGAGAATTCAGGGCTCTGCTCTGATACTAGCGGTCTTGTTCTTCTGAAAATTTTTTTTTTGTAATTTCTGTATTTTCGTTTGTCGAATTAAAACATTTTAACGCATATGAATTGTCTTTAGTGGACCCGGAGGAGATATAGTACTAAATCTATTTCTTCAAAATACGAAGTTTTCGCGACCTTGGGGCGTCTTTTGTTCTTTTTTTGCAAATCCAGTTCACATTATAAATACTCGAGTTAACATTTAAGTGATTGATTTGACAATTAAAGGATGAAATATCAGGTGATTCCCATTTACATTTAACCTATCATTCATTTGATTTGATTTAAACAATGGATCAGCAAAGATGACGTCATGATGGTATAATAATAACAAAAGATGTTACCATGAAATGAGTCAGCCCAGCTGATGTTTCTCTAATGTTAGTTTTCAATTTAATTTCAGCAGGGGGCTCTTTTCCAGTTTCCCCCCTTCAGAATACCGAGTTTTATGTTTGTTTTACGTGTTATTACGGCTAAATGCGTGATGTTACGCTGTAAAGTATGAAGAACAAATCTGTTCACAGTTGTCGATTTGTTCACCACGCCAAATTTCATTGCATTATGACAACGTTAAATAGACTTTTCAAAATTGAATTTGAAAGGGGGGGGGGGGGGGAACTGGAAAAGAGCCCAGCAGGGGAAGAAGCAAACCTACCATACAAATTATGCATGTAAGAAGTGGAATAAGTATTCATGGCGGCACAGTTAGAGGCTAAAAAGTACAAACTAAGTGTGAATTTGGGGGAAAATGTCATAAAACATGCTAAGCAGTGGACCATTTTTTTATCGTTTCTCGCTCTGCCGTTGCTCATGATATCGACAGTTTCACATTGAAACGACATTCTTCCTCTTAAATCTGCCATTTTATAAAACTTCATATTTTGCAGGGGCAAATCTAAAATTTTCTCGAGGGGGGCGGATTTTCAAAAAAGTTTAAAAATTTAACCGACCTTTTTTTAGGTTGACTAAATTGATTTTCCGAGCGAGCTCTCCCAAAGCACTAAAAAGACCTTGTTTTGGTCAATATTTCTGTGCACCAGGCGAAATTTTTTAAAAACAGGCCATAAAAGACGTTTTTAGGCCTTTTTTTTGAAAATGTTGACCAAAAAATTGCGTTTTAAAATACCGCTGATATTTTGTATGCAAAAAAAATATACTGCAACAAAAAAAAAATCAAATTATCAAAACCCTACAGGAATACTCTTTTGTTTTTTCTCTTAGTCGCAGAAACTTTGCACCCTGAAAGCGCCATTGGCAAGGTCCTTTTTTCACCTTTCTTCTTACTTTGAACAAAATTCAAGACTGTTCAAATATGCCTCTGGGTAAAATCAATATACGTGATTAAGACACCAGAAGGCAGACAAATGATATTCCACCATGAAAATCAGTCATCGAATCACATCAGTGCAAAGATAAAAGTGGGCAATATGGATTTAAACTGATGGAATTGGGCTAAATTTGGGTGAAATTCGGGCCAAATTGTCTCACCTGCTCGACTGCTGCTTTGTGTTGATATGGAGAAAGGTCTTTCATCTGAAACAATCACGCACAGGTAACTTTTTGGAAACAAAAAAATAGATCACGTAACAGAATTAGGAATAAAGAAATGGTAAAAATTTTCAATTTGCATTATTACAACTACAGTTAAATTAGAGGGAAAAGTTGCGAAGTATCACGCTACCACTAAAAAGGAAACTTGACAGAATTTTCAATAGAGGAGGGAGAGTTAACAAATCAATATCAATGAGCTGTCAAGTGTGTATAGTTTATCAGAATATCGATTGCTTCCCTTTTGGTCTGACAGAAAAATGACTCATAAATACCAGCAAAAAGCATGGAAGGAAAAGAAATGAATGTGTCGTTTTGAATTTTTTCAATCTTTGAAAGTTTCTGAGCAAGACGTCAAAACAGTTAAAATTTTCCGGCCACCGGTCACAATGGCAATTTTTAAACTTTTTCTAAAAGAAATACGAGAGTAAATAAACCAACCAAAAATGCGCGGAGATTATGAGCCAGCCAAAAAGTTACATCATATGAATGAATTTGCACAACTTTCGTAACTGTTACATATTTGTGATCTTTTTAACAATTTCACCCCTTATTGCAATGGGGGGGTACCATAGGCTAAGCCCTACCGCATAGACGACTTACCACCTTTGTTTTTGTTGAAGAATCGTTTGCGGCAGTATAGAGCGAGGAATATGAGGTTGGTGACGATGAAGAGGCCTGTGAGGGTGGGGAGAGCTATCATCAGCCAGAAGGGCATCTCTCGGAAGCTCTTGTGGGCTGAAAAGTCCTTCGGGTTATTAGTAGTCAATGGTTGAATTGATTATTATTATTTTATTTTCAAGCCAAAATTTATAAGCAGTTCTATGAAAATGTACGTTTACAATAAAGTTCGGCTTGAGAGAATACCAAAAATTTCGACTTATAAGTAGTGAATGCTTGAATTGATTATTAGTATTGTTCCGACTTTCGGTACGAAAGTAACGGAATATTTGTGCTCGGGGTGGGTTTTTTTTTCTTCAGACAAATTTCGACTTTTTAACTAGCTATATTTGACGGACTTTTTTTATATCATTCGAAAGGTATTGTTGTCCTGAGCTCAAATTTGAAAAGATATTTCACCTGTGATCATTTTTCGTAAAGTTATGTGGGTTTAAAGATTGCCATTTTGGCCAATTTGGGACAATTAACGCGCGATATATTTCGCGCTATTAACGCGTAAGCTGAGATTTAATCCGTCTTAAAATCGTTCCAAATTGGTTGAAAGAAGCTTATTTGCCATAATTGATTTGTTAAAAGGAGCTAAATCTATCTTTTTGTACTTTATAAGGCGTGTGGGGGGATGATTTTCATAAAAAATTTCAAATTTTAGAAGAAAAAAATTTCATTTTATTTTTATTACATTTAATTTTTTGATGTTATTACTGCTCCATAAAACCTTAAAAGGCAGTCGGAACATTCAGGGCTTCGCCCTGAAACGAGCAGTCTTGTTTTATTTTCAAGCCAAAATTTAGTAGCAAGTCTATGAAAATATACGTTTACAATAAAGTTCGGCTTGAGAGAATACCAAAAATTTCGACTTATGAGTAGTGAATGCTTGAATTGATTATTATTATTTTATTTTCAAGCCAAAATTTATTAGCAATTCTATGAAAATGTACGTTTACAATAAAGTTCGGATGGAAAGAATACCAAAAAGGCATCAGCCTGTCGGGTGGTTAAGTGGTTAGGTCTGCGCCTCTCAAGCGAGAGGTCGGATGTTCGAGGCCCACCATGATCCGTGCTGGTTGCTTGAGGGTAAGGCAACATTACCCAGCCCAGCAAAATAAACAAAAAAATTGCATGTAGTTCTGAAACAAGGGCACAACAGCGGCAGAAAACTATCCGATTATTTCAGACCACTAAATTTTTAATTTAGTTTCCTCTTAAATGGTGATTGGAGCTGCGAGAAAATAATCTGAAAAAGTTTCTAGTGGGACAAAAAATACCTAAATTCAATTAAAAAAACCCGGAAAAATTGTTTTTTACTAAAAGACCATTACGTTTTTTTTAGCAGTTGTTAATTATTGTGATAATTATCGCTGTTTTTTTGGCTATTTTTGTGTCTATATCGTAGACAATTGAAAACGGATATTGAGCCCCAATGATGGTATACGCTGTAAAAATTAACGCAGTATAACCCAAGGCGATTTTAACTAAATGTATGTTAATTAAAGAGGTCACCCAAAATCGTACCTGGTTGAATGGGAGCAGCATAAGTAGTGGCCTGAATAATCTCGGAACAGGCAGCCTCTCGGTTGTCGGGACCGACTCTGTTGTGAGCACACACTTTGAACGTGTAAGTCGTAGCCGACGCCAGACTCGAAACAGTATAATTACAATCCGAGTGGCTAGTCTTGCACTCAGTAGTGACTGTGGCGATCTTCCAGCCTTCGTTTTCTCTGCCCAGCACCTGGTATAGGATCTCGAATGCCTGAGGCCATCCGCCGTCGAAGCCTGTGGTCCATTTGAATGTCTGAGATTTGTGAGACGTTTCTTGAATCACAAACTTTGACGGCTTTCCAGGAACTCCTAAAACACCAAAACAAAACTCCATCAAACATCAAAAGAATTCCGAAATAAAACAACAATATATAATTGAAGAACCGTTTGATGTTCTTATTTATTAAGATCAGGGGCGGATTTAGGGGGGAGGGGTTGCGGACGCCCCTTCTTGAGGGATTCGACCCTCCCCCTTTGTACTATTTTGAGATATCTATTCTTAGCTGAGGGACGACAAAAAGTTTTCAAAAGGCGCCGTTGGCTGTAATATTTTATAATTTTGAGGGGGAAGCGCGCGCCAAAAAACGTAAGTCTTTTTGGTCAAAATTTTCCAAAAATGACAAAACGCACTTTTTGGACTGGTTTTTTTTTTAAAGTTTTAACTGCGGCGCAGAAAATTTGGCCAAAACAAGATCTTTTTAGTGCTTTGGGAGAGCTCAGAAATCAAATTGAACGGCCTAAAAAAAGGTCGGAGAAAAGTTTCCTTTTTTTGAAAATCCGCCCCCCCCCCTCGAGAAAACACTAGATCCGACCCTGATCAAGATTAATATTCGCTAGTATTCTACGTACATATAACAGGTCAGCCGTCTATATCGGCTAAGACTCAGTTCGACTCACTTGGCTTGCTGAGCTCGACCCTCCACGTATCAGCTCCCATGTTGTTCTTAGCCGTGCATGTGTAGTTGCCGAAAGAAGTGGCGTACAGAGGACTAATCGTCAGCTCCGACCTCCATTTGCTGGGACTCAGTTGGACAATCCGCTTTGTAGTCGATTGATCTGAAATCAAAAATGATTCTACAATAAAATGAGCGAGTTGATATGCGGGTAGCCTAGACGTCTGTTGCTTCATTTTTTCCAACTTTTACATGAATTTTTGTATAAATTTGAACACATACTTTTTTTCGGGGTTGAAAATACTATTTTTCACCAATTCTAATATTTTTTCTAAAAGGCCGCGTGAAAAGTTTCCGTGAGCCTAAAAATCAAAACAAAAAAAGTTAATCTGCAATACCGAAGTAACTAATACAGTTTACATAGCCCGTGATGAGCTACTCGTACCCAACGGAGGCTGTTTTTCTTGCAGAAGTGATCTTTAACATTTCTGGAAAAAAAATAGAAACCAGTTCACTGCTCAGCCGCAACGAGATAACATGATTCGAGTATACACAATAACAGTAGCAGCACAATGCAAACTTGTAACAAAAAAGTTTTGTTTCGGTAAAACTATCAATCTGCATCAAGGTCTGTAGCCTAGTATTTAGCATAAAACTGAAGGTCAGGGGTTCGAGCACCACCAGGAGACTCTTTTCTAGCTAAAAATAGCCTAGATTTAGCTAATTTCTGATCAGAATTAAGATGAGAAAAAAGCATTTAAAGAAAATCCCTGCCTCACTTAAACATTTTAAAGAGAATTTCCGACTAGAAAATAAATTAGATATGAAGTAATTCAGGTCAAAAATAAAGAATGTTTTCGGTACGGGTAACTAATTGTTATACTGCAAATTGAACGAAGCCCGCGTTTTGCTCGATTTAACATCTTGATTGATTAAGTTCATCGCTACTGAATAGTCAAGTCTGATCGTTGCTTCGTTGCACTTAACTCTAGCAATGCGTTCTGCTCAGCTGCTCAAATAACTAATCCAACCCAGAGATTAATGAGACTAATTTCCGTGTTATACTACTAATTAATTAACTAGTCAATCGCCATCAACCGATACTCCTAAGATTCAATTCAAAAAAACACCAGTAATCTAACTTCGGGTCCGTAACTCAACTATTTGGGAAAAAATCATGTTGTTGGTCAGTTTTTCTCCAGCCATGTATGATTCTATTCTCATTAGAGAACCAAAAATGATTCTTTTTTAAATGATATCGTTCATTTCAAACCAAACGTGCAGTCTCTTAGTGTAATTTGCTGACAATAGGTGGTTGTTTATAATCCGAAACTTATGTTTGTTTATCTAAATTTCAGTTTCATTGAGTAACATTTCTAACCGGAGCGTCGTGCAAAGGACTTTTTTTAAATGTTCTTAAATTTTTTTTCGGTCTCTCGAGGTTGAGGGGAAAATTTTCCCCTAAAAATCTAAAAAAAAACACAGGCTAATTTCTTTTTAGATCCTGAGTTTCTAGCTACCTCAGCTTTAATTTCTATGTTTATCAAATGTCTTTCCAACTTTAACCTTCCTAAACTTTTGATTGTAATGCAAAAAAATGACACCCATTTAATCTTTCAGTTCAGGTCCAATGAAAATTCTACCAAACAAGTTTCATCAATATCTGATCAAATCATTCTCGTTTATCCCATTCCTAGGGGTCAGTTTTTTTGTTATTATTCATTGTCACTATAGAATCGAGATGCCCTTGCTCTTTATTTTTCAGACATTGTTTATTTCCAGTCTGAACGCTATTTTTCCAACTGAGGATAGATACTTGTTTTATTGTCACATTCCGCTCATTATATAACACCTGTTAAACCATAAAATCAGCCAGAAATTCTCGAGCGCGTGGGACTAATTGTTAATTGTTATGAGTTTCGACTATTTCTTTACTACGAATCTTGTTGTTCCGACTTTCGATACGAAAGTAACGGAATATTTGTGCTCGGGGTGGGTTTTTTTCCTTCAGACAAGTTTCGACTTTTTAACTAGCCATTTTTGACGGAATTTTTAAATATCATTCAATAGGTAATGTTGTCCTGAGCTTACATTTGAAAAGATATTTCACCTGTGATCATTTTTCGTAAAGTTATGGGGGTTTAATGATTGCCATTTACAGATTGTTATTGAGATTTAATCCGTCCTAGAAATCGTTCCAAACTGGCTGAAAGAGGCTTATTTGCCATAATTGATTTGTTACAAGGAGCGAAATCTGTTCTTTTTTACTCTATATGGTGTGTGGGGAAAACTGTTGCAAAAAATCTCAAAATTTAGAAAAAAAAATTTTTCACTTCGTTTTTTTTTACATTTAATTTTTAATGTAATTACTACTCCATTAACTCTAAAAGGCAGTCAGAACATTCAAGGCTTCGCCCTGATACGAGCAGGCTTGCTGGTTTTTGTATAGCTTAAATTGTCTATTATTAGTAAAATTAACAAACCTATGCTAATTTTAGGCCGTGGGGCGTTTCGGAAGCCTTGAAAAGCGTGATTTTTTTGCATCTATCTCGGCCATAAAAAAGTTATCAATTTCTGTTCCAGAGCTATTTTTGAGCTCCTGGTATCACAAAGGTGTCAGATAACCAATTCAAAAAGAATCTAAACAACAAAACGAAAACGGCAGAAAAAACTGCAACACTTGGAAAGCAGGCAGAAAATTTTCAAAAAAAAAATAAATTTGGACGCCTAAAAACTGTTTTTTTTTAATCAGTGTCGAAGCAATAAAAGTTAAAATATGTTAGCAAAAAGTAAGTTCAAACTTCAATTAATATGAAACTTAGATTAAAGAAATGCATCTTCTGGGTTGTATCTGTCGATGATCTTTGGGTAATCACCTTTTCCAAAAAAAAACAAGTGGCAGAAAACTAAATTAGCCATTCTAAATTCTGCTATTGAAAAATATTATACTTGACAATTTTGTAGACCTTTTTTTAGGCACCTATTGAATATCGTTGTTTTTTTTCTTTTCCATTCTAGAAGAAGTTTCTTTTGGTGTTAGTCTTAACAAAAAACAAAAATTAAATTTCCGGTTCACACTCGATAATAGCCTAAATTATTAGCAGATTAGCTGTGTAAGAAACCGATAAGAATGTAACGAATAGCGGTGAATGGATGCTTGCAACATTGCGTCATTAAAACAACTCACCTGTGGGGTAATTGATCCAATCGAAGTTGAGTTCGGGGTACCCGTTGGCGACGCAATGCAGCGTGGCCGATATGTCCCCCTCGTCCCGCCCACTGATCACCAGTCGCGTGTTCTCGTTACTCTCAAAGTAGGGAGCATCTGAAATAATAATAAAAATCAAATTTGTTGTCAAAATGGGAACAATTCGACTATAATTTACAAAATGTATCAAAAAAATCATTCCCATCTTGGAATAACACCAATTGAAACATTTAATCTACATAATCTCTCCCAAATCACTATAAAGACCCCATTTCGACCAAATTTTCTGAGCCGCTAATTGATAATTTTGAAGAAAAAAATGGCCAAAAAGTTGGGATTTTTCGGCGCGCGCTCCCCCCTAAAAATTAGAACAATTTTGAGAGTATGTCAGCCAAAAATGGATATCTCAAAGTAGTACAAAGGGGGACCCTTTGTTTGGGTCGGCAGGGGGTCGAATCCTTGAGTCCCCCCTTTGTACTATTTTGAGATATCCATTTTTGGCGTCCGATATCCATAGAGAGAGAGAGAGAGAGAGAGAGAGAGAGAGAGAGAGAGAGAAATTAAAAACGAACGTTTGACAGCCAGTTGTACTTTGATCTGATCCTCGCCCAGTTTGTTCACCACTCCACAGGCGTAGCGTCCCGCGTCCGCCTGCACCACACTTTCCACTTTGAGAGAGGACACTTGGGTGAATCTGTCGTGGCTGATGTTGTACTTGAGGTTCACGGCGTAGGGGTCAATGACCTGGTCCTCAAACATCCAGAACACCTGTTCAACACATGTTTGCATGTAGTTCTTAAACAGGGGCACAACAGCGGTTCGCCGTGATGAGCTGTACAGCTCTTGTGTTGGTCCTTTCCCCGTGGATAAATGGTCTTAATCTTTATGTTCGCTTCTGAATTTCACATTACAACATACTATGAAAAGAAAACATAAGTGGGAAGAAAACAAATGTTTTTGATTTTTTAGAGGAACTACTTATTAAATTTTCATTTGAAAGTCGTTGTTTTATTTTGATATCATACATGAACAGACAAGGGAGCGGCTTGATGCTATGAAACAAATTGAAAAATGGTTTTTTTTCTGGGGGTTTTATGTTTTGGACTTACTATTTCAGATCAACCGACAACTTCCCTTAAATCACTTCTATTTCTACGTTGATTTTGAGAAGCAGTTCATAATGATTTTAACCTGTCCAGGTGGGTTTGCAGTCTGTTTGCACCTGATGGTAGCATGGGATCCAATGTCCACCTCCAGAAGATCTGTCTCCGTTGTCAGGGTGGGGGCATCTGAAAGATATTCAAAAAAGAAAATCTTTAAAAAAAATTTCACTCAAGATGTTGATATATTTGACCAAATGACTCGCACTTTTTTCATCTGTTCCTCATAATCAGAAGAAAAAACTTTCATTTTCACATCGGCTTGTGCATTAGATTTACTTTTTGAAGGAATCCTTCTAGTTAATATGAAACTTTTTTTTTCATTTTTCTATTGTTCGATAATTTCACTCGAACTTCGAACCAACTTTTTGCAGTTCGGCTTTTCAGGTTTCGAATTGTCATCATAATCATTTGACATTATCATAAGTTGATATCGAAGAGTTGACCCTGTAGATCCGAATTTAACCCCGAAAAGTATAATCTTACATTCGACTTCTAATGTGATCTGTCGGGTAACTGAACACGCAGTCCACGGACACAAGTCATGATTTGTAGGCACATCGCAATTGCACGCCTTGCAGAAGTAGTCCCCGGCATCCTCTCGCGACGTCGCCAGGAACTCCAGTTTGGATCCGGGGGTCTGGACTACTTTGGTTCCAGTCCACTGGTAGTAGGCGATAACTGGGTTCGTCTCGGCGCCTCCGCAGTCGAGGTTTGTCGTCGATGACTCATTCACGATTACTCTCAGAGGAATATTTGAAATGAGTCTAGGCTCGACTGAAAAATTTTCATATTTGAACTTAGAGCATAAAAAATTTTGGCAGATGAAACCAGCATAAATTTTGAAATGATCCACCAGAAACCGAAAGAATAGCTCAACTTTTTTCTCAGTGAAAGCATTTCGAGAAAACTTAGAGTAAAATGAATTCATATGATGCTCTTACATGTGAACAAACCTAATGCACTTACAGTATACTTCGATGTGGTAAGTGGCTGACACGACCATTTCTGGGAACTGAACTGGGGTGACCTTGCACGTGACAGGCAGGTTGTGGTCTTGTCTGTCCATGGGTCGGTTGAGGCGCATAGTATTGCTCAGCACAAAGCCATTCGATTGAGTCACGGGGTCATTTGTCTCCGTGTCTGAACAATCGAACACTGAGTTGTATCATAGATTTAAAAGACTTCAAACTTTTTTTATTTTTTAAAATTTTTATGCAAAGTGAGAACTATTTTATAAGCATATGGTCAGCACTCATCTATAAGATAAATTTGCTTACCGCGTGTTGCTTGAAGAACATGAGATTCAAAAATTTTTGGCCATTTTAACAGAACAGTAGTGGATTTAGGGAGGGGGCGGGCGGACGCCTCTTTTTGTTCAGGGATTCGACCTCCTTGGCTGCTCAAAGGGTTTCTCTTTTGGTACTAATTTAAGCCATCCATGTTTGGCTGGCTGACTCTGAAAATGTTCTAAAGGCGCTTTCGGCGCCAATATATACCAATTTCGAGGGAAGAGCCCGCGCAAACACTCCAAAAAATACCTAAGCTGCGGTGCAAAAATTTTGGCCGAAACAGTCTTTGTAGTGTTTTTCGAGAGCTCGAAAACAAAATCCTTTGTTTCGATGACGCTAGTGGTTCAATAGAATAACAAATCTTTAACTTCTTCTTTAACTTATTATCCAATGATATTTGTAGTCAATATTGACCTTCCGAATTGACTGGTGACCCGTTGATGAACCACTCGAATATGACCTGGTTTGGGTTCATCTTGTCAGTTGTACATGTGAACTGCACCCCCTGTTTGTTTTCCAGAAAAGGCTTCTCTACATTCGTAGTTATGGTCACCTTCAGAGGAGGATCTGAAAAAAATACATAATTCAAATTTTTTTTCACTAATAGTAGATTTCATTACATTTCTACAAAACTTTTTGCATCAAAAATGGTAGCACATCTATGTCTATAAACTTAATTTATTGAAAAATTTGAAAATGGTTCAAATATTCTCGCAAAGCATGGTTGCAGACACGGACCTCAGAGCTTCACAATAAGGCCGGGATTCAAGAAACATACTCAAAGGTAATCGCTTGAAAAAATATGCCGTGCAAAAAATTGGTCATCAAAATAGCATTAAATTTTTCCAATTTTTTGAAGTTTTCGAATTTTTTTCTAAATTTCTAAATTTTTCTTTTTTTTTCTAGATTTCTAGTTTTATCTCCAAATACTACTTAATTTTTTTAAAGTTTTAATTTTCTCTACAATTTTAAATTTTTCTAAATGTTTTTCTAAATTTTTCAATGAGAAAGTCAAATTTCTCACTCACAGTGTACTTTGAATGTGAAAGTGGAAGTGGGCGGAGTCTGGTCTGTTGCCACTACCACATTGGATGCCTCGCAGGAGAAGGTCTTCCCGTGGTCCTCACGCGACAGGTGGGAGAGACTGAAGCTGTACTTGCTAGTGTACTCTGAAACAAACAATAATAATAATTTAGTATTACAATGATAATAACAACAATAATACAATAACTATAATAATAACAATCATAATAATTTGGTACTACAATAATAATAACAACAATAATACAACAATAATAATTATAACAATAATAATAATTCGGTTATAATAATATCTCGCTTTTCAACTGGGACACTTTGGTCTTTGTAAAATTCAAAGAATTCAACATCAAAAAAGATTTTGACTTGGTGCTTTCATGATGTAAGATTCGTGATGCACTATTACTCGCGTGTTTTACAATACCCGGGTACTCTGGTTAACAAATTTTAGGTTTACAATATAATGGTACTTTATATAGGTTTACAATATAATGGTACTTTATATAGGTTTACAATATAATGGTAATCAAAAATCCTTCGCTAATTCAACTAATTTAAGACTGGAGCATACACCAAAACAAGAGTGGATTTAGGAGGGGGGATTTAGGGAGATCCGACCCTCCACGTACCCAAAGGGTCCCTCCTTTGATACTCTTTTAAGAGAACCAATTTTGGCCGACCAACCCTAAAATTTTTCTAAGGGCGCCTTGGGTGCCCATGCATACTAACTTTGATGGCGAGCGCCTGTTTTTTGGCCTGTTTTTTAAATGTTTCTGTGGCGCAGAAATTTTGGTCAAAATAAAGTCATCACAGTGATTTGAGAAAACTCATAAAATCAATTTGGTCACCCTAAAAATAGATCAAAAACCCTTAAAAAATCCGCCCCTTGAAATTTTCTTAAGCAAAATCTAACCCCCTTAACAGGCGTAGTTATAAAGACACCATACCTATATCAGGCACTGGATCTGCACCGGAGTCTAGTAAGATAGAGTCCTTGTACCAGGAGATGACTGGCATCGGCCTCCCTTTCGACTGACAGGACAGTCTAACAGAGTCCTCCTCTTTGTAACTTCCCTCCATCTTCACAGGCTCAACTGTCAGTTCTGGTTTGCTTGGCGGGTCTGAAAAAAGTTATATTGAATAACAAATTTAACAAACCAGGTTATTATTTCTTAAAGAAGTATTAAATCAGATGCTTTTCATGGTTTTATTTTTTATTGCATGCTAAAATTTTTTAAGTATGAAATTTATCATTAGCATACTCTACTTCGTATAAAACAATTGTCCTTTACCGTGTTTAAGTTACTTTATTTTAGTTATAACAACCTACTAAATAATTTATACGCTGACTAAGATATTTGTAGTGGACAAATTTTAGAGATTTTTCCTTTATGATCAAATTTCGTAAATAAAACATTTTAAGATTGACAATTTAGCCTGCTGGAAAAAATTAACAGCAGCTAAGATTACAATTTTTATTTTGACTCCGGACGAGCTAACGCAGCTCAGAAATTATGGCACTGCAAGTGGAAAACGAGCGCTAATAATTTAAAATATTGCAATTAATTTTTCGATTTATTTTTTCAATTTTTCAAACAACTTTTCTTGACGACACAGTAAACTGTAATAAAATTGTTCACAGTTTCAACCTTATATCAGCATTCTTGTTTTAGATAATGAAAAATATGCTAACAATTGTATAAACCAACCTTTATACATGTTAGCTTTTCAACCAAAAAAAAATCAATAGTTTTTTTAAAAAAAAAAATGAATCGTTTTGAGTTTTTTCAGTTTTTGTGATTCTTTTTTGCAAATACATTTTCGTCATTTAAGGACATCATTATTTGACACAAAGAAAAACTACTCAAAAAAAATATACACGTATTTTTGTTGTTATTTAGAATTAAACCTGGTTGAAAAAATTGTGAGTTGATGCAACAAAAACTGGCAAATTTTGTTTACTTTGACAATGGAAGCTAAAGAATCCGACAACTCTTGAAATACTGGGAATAAACTATGGTCTGGGCAAAATTGTTTTCCAGCCAAAACTAGTGCCTCAAAAAAGTCAAGATTGGTATCACTTTTAAATCTTTTCAGTCATGATTTGGATTCTGAAACAGAGTTTCAAACAACTTTCCGTGTCAAAAAAAAACTGGTCTGAATACTTCCGTTTTTCTGCTGGTGAGCCAATATTTCAAAAAATGAAATTAAATTTTAAGGTTTTCTTTTCAGTTAAGGTTTTAATTTTTCAATAAAGCTTGATTTGGATATCATTTTGGATCCGTTTGAAAAAGTCGCTCCAGTGATGAGAAAAACCGTTTTTCAAATTTTGATTTTTTTTGTCTAATTTTAATTTTGAGCAAGTACAGCAATATCGTTCTTCAGTTGTAAGAGTTGGTCATTTGGGCTCAGAAAACCTAATTTTGTACAAAAAACCAGTTTTACCGCTTCCTTCGCAACAAAAAAATCAAGAAAACATTAAAATTATTGTGCGAAAATTACGAAAAGTTTTGAAAACTTTTTTGAATTTTTTTTTTCGATTTTATTGCATGTTATTCGCTTGTTGAAGACAACTGTTATCTAGCATGCCTCAATCCTTAACTTTCTATGCGTATATACAGTTTTCTCAACAGACTACGCACAAAAAACTTTGCAAGAAAAAGAAAAAAACTTTTATGGGTTTTTCATAAACGTGATCGGAAAATTCTTTACTCCTTGCACAGCAACTGACTATCCTCGATTACAATTGTTCACATTCTAACAAAGTAACGTGTGATCAAATAATATCCGTTATATAGAAATTGGTCGTTTAAGCTAAGAAAAAAACTTTATATCCTAACAGGAAAACTGATTTTGGAAGCTTCATTGGCAATAAAAGTTTTCAGAATTTATTTTTCAATGATTGTGCAAAAAACATAGAAAAAAAATTGTTTGAAATTTTTTAAATAGTTTTGGTCTGTTTTTACTTTTTGGAAGACAACTGCTGTCGATTAATCTTATTCCACCAACTTTCTATGCGTTGGTATAGTTCTCTTGTCGCACCACTCTCAAAAAAAGTACACTAAAATGAGCCTAAAAAACACTTCTAGTAGTTTTTTTTATTCTGGTCGGAATTTTCTGAGCTACTTATACAGTAAACGGCTATCCTTGTTTGCTATTCGTCCTCACCATGGGTTGCGTCTTAATGTTTCTCCAAAACAGTGTGCGACCAACTTTTGATGTAAGTGAAGATCAAAATAAAAGATTATATCATAAATTTTATGTTTTGTTTTTTATTATTAGCTATATTAGCTCTTATCTTTTATTAGCTACTGTAAAACTAAAACTCATTTTGTCTACCATGGTTATTTCGGAGGTTTGAAAAACTGATTGATTTTGGTTGCAGGTTAAATGACTCATTGGTAGGTTCAAAAGCAAAGTAGTTTAAGTTTTTTTGCCTGAAGAAATTAGACTGAACCCCATGTCGCGTTCGTCTCCAAATCAACCACGAGCAAACAAAAGTATTAACTTCTCAAAATAAATTCAAAAATAGCTCAAGCTAATATTTTTCTTTAGACGACATACTATAAACTGTTTATTTAAATTATTCCTCTGCACCCTTTTCGACATATAAAGCGGGTGGTCATTTGGAGTGGGGCTATTTTTTAAGGCCGTCCTGAAGATACATACTGACATGTAGCCCGCGACCAATTTTACGTTACCCTATGGCCAAACTGACATGAATACTGTCTATGTTGATCAATTCAGTGTGAAATAGTTTGTTAGAATAACATTTGAAGAAACGCTGACTTTTCCAAGAGTGTTCAAACTTGTTCAGCTGTTAGCGTGAATTAACTTCTACTTATTACGAAGAAGTCGTGCGAAATGGTGAACATTTCAGTTCAGTTGAGTAAACTTGGCTCAAAATGGCGTGAAACATTTCAACTCGAGACAGTCCCATTATTTTAAATCATTAAAAATCTCAAGACATTCCAGTCTATAAAAATACAAACTTAGTTGCAAAACAAAACAGGAGAATGATGAGTTAAATTGGGTAAGATCTTACATTGGATCTGAAGCTCAACTGTATCCCTAGTGACAACTCCTTCAAACTGAGGGTTCTCAGCTTCGCAAGCTACAGTTGAAATTGACTCGTCGTCTGAAAAAAAAAATATCGTCTGAGAGAAAGTGACAAACTAGTTAATATGATGAAGAACCGCTTTTATATAAAAGAATTAAGTAATCAGAAAAGAGTCTGTCTGCAAACTTCTTCAATGAGCTTATTGTTTTTGTTAATTGTTCTCTTTGGTTTGTTAAATTCCTTGTTTTTTTTCAAAATTGTCAAAAAGGTCATTGGTCGATTAACTTACCAATTCTGACTTCATAGAGACTAGTGGTATGGTACCCATGCGAGGAGTTCCCACTGATTTTGTCTTGGGACAGCCCAACTTTATTCCCATTTAGAGTCCAAGAGACATCGGCGGCGGGGTAAGACAAGCCAGTGCGACACTCGAGGGAGATGACATCATTGCGACGGATCTCTCTGTTGAAACCGGATATCTGGACAGCGGCTGGCTTGACTAAAGTTATAAACGAAAAGTTTTACTTTTTCTCTCTTTTTTAAAATAATTTTAAAAACTTGTTGATTTATATGTTGAGGTTTATATATTACATATTTTGCAAACACAATGTATTAGCTTTTTTAGTCTCAAAGCGCTCAAAAATAATTGAGTTTTTTTGTAAACATTTTTACAAGAAAACTGCTCGCTATATCGGAAAATTTCCTGAGTTTTATGAGAAAGAGATCAATCGAACCAAAAAAAATCATGCGTCAACACCATTCAGTATCAAATTACAAAGTGTCGCTAAGTCAGAAACCGCAAAAATGATTTTGGCTCAAGGCATGGGTGTATTGCTTAGTAAATTTTGACTGTGGTCTTTGAAAGACTTTAATTTGACACATGACAAGCAAATTTCTGGAGGCACTTTCTGAGGAAAACGCTTAAAAGATTTTTTAAAACCGCAAGATAACCTCTGATTTGTACTATTTTTACGAGCAATTGCCAAATTCGTTCTCAAATCAGATAAAAATCATATTAAGCTGACTTGTTTTCAAACAAACAGATTTGTCACTTAATATATTTTAAAAGTCCGCCCAAATTGATTTACGGCCATTCAATTACATATCGAAATCAAAATTAGAAATTTATATTAAGCTTTCATTTTAAATCAACCAACAACTGTTCAGCTCAGGGTGCGTCTACGGATCAAAGACTCCGATTAAATTTCGAAAAGTCAACAAATTTTCAAATTATCTGGAGTGGAAACATTTTGCGAGGAACAGGTTGTTATTAAAATCACCCGGATAAAACCAAAACAAAACTTGTATGAAAGGGTCTTTCTCAGACCGGGTTTTCACTCTGTTTTGTTTTGTTGTCGTCGGTAATTCGAAAACAATACACCCCCACCCCCCATTAAGTTCCTGAATGTGGAAGTAAACAAGACCTGAATGCGGAAGTTATTATCAAATTCATGAAACTAAAGCAAGTTGAAACGATTGAGATAAAAGTGTGTTTTCAGATTTGTGATTTGATTATCAGAAATCTAAAAGACAAACTTGGCCTAATTTGATTGTATTGATATTTTGAAGTATGACTCATTCTCGTATTAAGTCTTTAAAAACTGGTTCTTTTGTCTGCAACAAATTTTCAATCTCATTTTGAAAAAAGGAGCTGCAGGCAGGATCTGATATTTTTTGAACTTTTGATGATCAAAGTTTCTCCCAAAAATCAAAAGATTTCCATAGAAAAAACAGAAAAGAATAAAAATTCAATTAAATAGAAGCCTGAGACATGGTTCAAAATTGTTTAAAGTAAATTTTGTTTTTTGAAAATACATTTATATCAAGTTTCTTTCTTCTTTCTCTTGTTTCTTCTTTAACTGATTCAATGAAAAAACCTGAGACTGACCTAGAAAAAAAAATGAAAAAATGCACGCAGATGAAGACAAGGAACGGTGGTGAGTGATAGGGTGGATGGGAGGGGGTTTATTCGGGTTGACAAAAAATGCAAAAAAAAAATCATAAAATTTCATACTATGGAAAAAATGCTTCTCATACAGTTTCGTACAATTTCATGGACTGAAAAAAGTATATGAAAAGAGTAAAACAAGTGTTTTTTTCATACTATGAAGTCTTATCATAATCAGTATAACTGCTGACTTACAATATACTTGAAGTAATTCCTGTTTGATGACTGGTGCATGAGGGATGGAGGGTGATGTGGCCTCGCATTTGAACACAGAAGAGTGGTCATCTCGCTCGGCCGCAAAGTCAAACTCCACCAACACCTGAAAATGACATAAATGCATGGATTCAAAAACTTGATGAAACTCTCATGAAACACAAACTTTAAAATTTAAACTTTTTAGTGATCCTAATAAAAAATGCATCTATAAAATGAAAAATTTGCAATTTTTTATTTTGTCTCCATCAACTTTCAAAGGTAAAAATGTTGCGAATTCCGCGACAAATATGATTTTGGCCTGTTGCGGAATCCATTTACATTTCACAAAATGGACAATTTGGCCTCGTAATGTTCATTTTCGCTCTGGCCGCTAATTTTTGTTTGATCTGTCAAAAATTTTGAAGACAAACCCATCTATGAATTACAATGACTAACCTGTTGACTGGTGACTGACTTGTAGCCACTGAGTTCAATTCCATTTTGATATAACTTCAATTCAGGCAGGGGGTTCCCCGAATCACACGTGCATCGGACCCTAACTGACTCCCCCACTTTCACAGGACTGGCAAGGTCGGCAGAGTTCAGCTGCACATATGTCGGGGGATCTGAAAAACTCATATGAATATGTTAAAAGGAAACCATCAGTCGAAATAAATTGCAGACATGTCTTAATTGGAAGCACAACATCGGTTCTCCCGAGAGCGCTTAACAGGTAGTATTGACATTTCCCTCGTAGAATACGGTTTAAATTTTACCCGGGTTTAAGATGTGGTTTTATGATAAGACGGACGCGACCCATTTTTGAAATTTCCAGAATTTCGAGACCAAAACTGGGTGTTTTTAGACCGCCGCGAACAAAATTTGTTATTTAGAGACTGTGTAGACGGAGGCAATGTGTCCGCGACCGTCGCGCCTCATTTCCAGACCAAAGCAAAACAAGACTGCTCGTATCAGAGCGAAGCCGTGAATGTTCCGACTGCCTTTTATGGTCTATGGAGCAGTAATCATATGAAAAAAGTAAATGCAATAAAAATAAAATGAACTTTTTTTTAAATCTGAGATGTTTTGTGAAAATCATCCCCCCACACGTCATATAAATTACAACGTGATCGGTTTTGCTCCTAGTTACAAATCAATTATGACAAATAAGGTTCCTTCTACCAATTTCGAACGATTTCTAAGACGGATCAAATCTCCGCTTACGCGTTAATACCGCGAAATAAATCGCGCGTTAACTGTCCCAAATTGGCCGAAATGGCAAAATTCAACCCCCCCTAATTTCACGAAAAAAGATCACAGGTGAAAAATCTTTTCAAATTTCAGCTCGGGAACACAAAACCTTTTGAATAATTTTTAAAAATTTTGACAAAATGGCTAGTTGAAGAGTCGAAATTTGTCTCAAGAAAAAAACCCACCCGAGCACAAATATTCCGTTACTCTCGTTACGAAAGTCGGAAGAAAAATTGTTGAGAGTTTTTGCGCAAAAAAAGCTGTGAAACAAGCAGGCTAAAAGTTCCATTTAATGGAGTGAAAAATTAAAATGTTTAGGACGCTCGGTTTGAAGGCGATAGATACGTATGCGTTTCCCCCAAAATCCTAAATTGGCTTTTTGTTAGAATATCGCGAAAAAGTTTTCAAATATGCTTAGACAAATTTTCTGACTTTGCCGCGGCTCATTTTGAAATTATATCTCGATTAGAACATATCGCGACTTACCCGGGTTCAACATAAAAAAAAGTTCTGAGATGGCAACTTTTTGATTTTGTTAACTATTTTCCCACTAATGGTGCCCTGTAACGAATCTTCTCTCTTTAAAGAAAGAAATGAACACTCATTTTATACGAGTTTTGTACCTTGTTAACTATTTCCCCCTATTGCAACAATAAGGTCCCAAATTTTTGACAAAACTCAAAAAATGGCGAAATTGTTTTTGAAAGTGTTTCTAAACAGTTTTGACAGATAAAAATCAATTTTGAATATTTTCATTGTTTTCAATGTTATGGATCTAACAATGTCCAGATAGCGGCTATAATATACAAAAAATTCCGAAATAAAAAATTTGATTTTTTTTTCTTCAATAAATCTGTTAGTTATATGTAATTAGGGGTTGTAAAATACTTTGGAGATAATAAAAAATTAACTTTGACGAGTCATGTCATACAGTTTTGAACGATTTGTACGTGGGGTTCAGGTATATATTGACAAAGATTCCGCAAGAATTAGCCAAAATCTAACATTTGTAAAGTGAGTGGGTTTTCCGGTAAACTCATGTAGCAAAACGACGAATTTTTCGGAATACGAGTTTCCGGTATTGTGCTCTGCGACAGCGGAGAACTTTGAATCTGGCTGTAGAAAGAAAAGTAAGTTAGGATTTAAAATTAAACGAAAAATTTACCATCTAACTTTCTTATAAAAAGAAGTCCCTAACTTTTAACAATTTTAGAGCCTAATTTTGTAAGAAGTTGTAAGATTCTTATAAGAAAACTTCGAATATAGCAATTTTCGGTCAACCCGGGTCTTTTCCAACTATCACGACCGAGATATTGTATTTGCAGACATTGTCGAGGACTATATAACCCTGCCCAGTTCACAGATATTCGGTCGCCGAATTAACATCGGCTCGACCGACAAGGTCAAAAATTACTCAAAGATTTTGGCAAGGCGTACGAAAAATTTTGAATCCCCCTAAAGTACCCAAAAAAACTTACTAAAATTTAGGAGATTTTACTCACCGGTCAAACATAATTTTGCTGAAAATTGGGTAGAAATTCGTTACAAAGATCAATATAAAGATAAATTTTTACAGGTGTAAAAATTTATTTTCTAAGAACATTCCTATGCTCCTTCAAATTTTTATTTTTGGTAAGGAGGGGTTGCTCAACAAAATTCACAGTGATTAAACGATTGGCAAACTCAAAGAAAAGGTATAAAAGTAGTTAGCGACCGGGATGCGGCAAACTATAAGTCAATAAAACTTTGCCCAGAACATTGAAACTTACAGAGGATGTTGAGTGTCTTAGTTTGCATCAGTTGGTTCTGCACATTTTCTTGTTCAACAGTCGCACAAGAAAGGTCACTCTGGTCTTGCTGCTCAGTTATGGTCAAATCCAAGGTCGAATGGGTGTCATACACTGAAAAGATGTATGAATTAAGAGTTCACGCTTGTGAAATTGATGTTTTAGTACGTTATTTCATCAAATACGCAACGTAAGTTTCGAACACCATGCGAAGTCAAAATTACATTCAAACATTCATGCCATGCATATGCAAAAACTTAAACTAATAATGAAATTATTATATTATTAATATTGAAACATCGCCGAGCCATACAAAAACGGATCTAGGATTTAATCGAGGGGGGGGGGTGGGGTTTTAAAAACGTTTGAAAACTTTGGCTACCTTTTTTTTAGGTCGTCCAAATTGTTTTCCCGAGTGTTTCCCAGAGCACTATAAAGACCCCTTTTTTATCAAACGATTTAGCACCGCAGGCTTATTTTTGAAAAAAAAACAGATCAAAAATGCCGTTTCTGGGCACTTAATGGAAATTTTGACCGAAAATAGCGTTTTTTTTCGGCGCGCACTTCCCTCCAAAATTAGCATATATTGGCCCAAAAGGCGCCATTAGAAAAATTTTAGGGTTGCTTGGTCATAAAATAAAAATAAATAAAACCCAAGGGAGGACCCTTTGGTTGGTGAGGGTGTCGAATCCCTGAGAAACGGGGCGTCCATCCCACCCCTGCCACCCTGGATCCACGCGTAAGAGACAAAATTGAACATGAAGAATAAATTGATAGTACTTCGAAAATTATTATTGTTATGAAACTTGAGAGATGGTGGTTAAAAAATGCAAAGCGTCTCAAAACTAGGATGACAGTTTATTGTTTTTATTTGATCACGTTTTTCGGGAAAAGGGAACACGTGAAAACTCTATTACATGAGAACGATTCAAAATGGTTTTCAACTTCTAAGATTTTTTCTTACCAAGGATTGTTTTGGTACAAAACTCGTCATAATCTGCGCTGTCAAAGCGACAGTCACGAGCTTCTATAAGGTTAAAGAACAGAAATAAAATGGATAAAGCAACAGAACTAAATTTATTTTGAAAAATCCGGTTAATATAACATAAAACTTTTGAAAACAGCTAAAACTTCGAAATAGTTCAACTCATTAACATAAACAATTGGCTTGTCATGCGTTTGTAGCTCAGAAACAGACACACGGTCTTCGGAAACTTTCCATCAAGTTTTGGCATGATTTGCAAATAAACTGAACTGTTCAATTAAACTGAAATCAGGTTGAAAATTGATTGCATTCAAAATATAACCAAGACAGGCATAAAACTGCATCGCAAGTAGACAGCAGTCCAACAAAATGTGAACACCAAAAAGATACTTTGAGTGGTGAATTTGATGTGTTTACCATATTGGGGATCTATCGCGTTCGAGAAGGCAGCTTTAACAAACAGACATATTACATTTTGGAGAAACTCAATGTTGCTTAAAAAGAAAAAAAATGTTGCTTCCAAGTTCTATCAAGGAAAATCAAAGCAGTTATTAACATAGTATACAGACGTTTATCTATTTCGTAATTAAACTGAATAAAAAGTCAACGTTAAATTTCATATTCTAGCATAGGTACAAACGTTCAATAGGAATCATTTAGACTATACGCAAATAATGAACTTCAGAATCCCAAAATCACAAAAATTAGCTCCTCAAATGTCATTCAGAGATGCTTACCTTCGCGTTCCGATATTTCCTGATGTTGGTTGAAGAATTCACTGGGCAGCACTCCCCCGTCCAAGTACCACTGGATGTCCACAGCTGGTCTGGCGCCGACAACTTGGCAGGAGAACTGAACAACCTGTCCGGCCACTGCTTGGATCTCCCCGGAGGGAAGTACTGTCGCCTGATCTTTACTGTTCATTGACACTGTCATCTGAAGAGACTTCGGAGGAACTAAAAATAATTAGTTATAATTGATAGATAATAGATATAATTGAGTGTGTTTTTTGTCAGTAATGGGATATTTTATCTTATGATTGCATAATATCAGGGGCGGATCCAGGATTTTCCCGAGGAGCGGGGCGGATTTTCAGTTAAAAATGGATGTCCTGAAATAGTACCAAAGGAGGGACCCTTTGGGGGGTCAGCGGGTCGAATTCGTCCCCCCTCCCCTAAATTAGCTACTGCATCGTGTCTACTAACATATAGGATGTTATCCTATTTGGACCATACAGCAATCGTGAATTTATGACATGCAGGAATTCAAGTGTGATATTATGACATGTCAAGTTTTAAGCTGAACAGTTTCCGTTTTTTGTTGCTTTAAAGGTTTGAGAGCAACTGAAATTGGGTTATTTAAGACATTTATCCACGACGGAAAGGACCAACACAAGAGCTGTACAGCTCATCACGGCGAACCGCTGCTGTGCCCCTGCCTAAGAACCACATGCAGTTTTTTGTTTGTTTTTCTGGGCTGGGTAATGTTGCCTCACCCTCAAGCAACGAGCGCGGATAATGGCGGGCCTCGAACATCCAACCTTTCGCTTGAGATGCGGAGACGTAACCACTTCACAGCCGCTCCCTTGGTTCACTTGTTTCCCTCCAACTACGTCGAATGCTTTCGATTGCAAGGATTTTTTTGGACATAACCCATCAAGTTCAAACGCCTTGAGGTTAATTCCGTAAAAAAAAATTATAAAAAACTTGTTTTCAGCTTATAAAAATTAGATTACATTCATTTTCAGCATAGAAATGAGCGGCTAAAATAGTTTCCGTTTCTTATCAACAAAAACAAGTTTGTTTAAAACTACAGTAACCGCTGTTTGAAGAGGATTGCTGTAGCAAAAAAGTTTTTGAAGTTGATTCCGTTCTGCTTCTAAACAACTTTTTTCGGCTCACTATAAAACCAATAGCACCAAATTGAATTATTTTATTGAGCCCAACTCACTATAGTGAAAACACAATATCAAATTCAGTAACAATCAAAAATGATAACTGTTTCACTTTCAATGTGCTGACGAAAGCCTTGAGGTGTTTTAGTTCACTCAACCCTATCAGAATGTCGGATTTAAAACAAACAGGCGACACAGATATCCAACGATAAACTACCCCAGGGACCCTTCTGAAGACCACACGTGCATTGAATCAGACTCTAATAAGTCGGCTTAACACTCGGTTGATTATAAGAGCGTTCCAACTCACATTTGATTATTTAGAGAACATTGCCGCAAATTAAAATGAAAACTGGAACTAATTTGCAAAAGTATCTGAAAATGTTAGGATAACGAACTTGTAATTTTGTACAAAAAATGCCTGCAGCAATTTCAGCGTGTAAACATTGCACCAAAAAACTCGTGAATCAGAGCACCCCCACCACCTAAGGAAAAATTTTCCCCGTTAAGATAAAGATTAAGACGATTTATCCACAGGGAAAGGTTCAACCAACAAGCTGTTCAGTTCTTCACGGAGAACCGCTGTTGCATCCCTGGTTAAGAATTACTTGCAACATTTTGTACGTACTATCTTCTGGGCTGGGTGACGATGCTTCGCCCTCTAGCAACAAGCAAGGATTATGGTGGGACTCGAACATCTGACCTTTCGCTTGAGAGACGAAAACGTAACCACTTCAGGACCGCTCCCCATAACTACTTACGCTCAAGATTGCGGTTTTCGAATGTTTTTTCTTATCAAGTCAGTCGACGCTTAGTTTAATATGAAAACATCAATCTGGAGGCCAAACAGAAATGATTTTTATCACAAACTTTCTCAAAGTATGTTTTCGTTACTTGAAACTTTGAGGCTGGCTCTCAACCAAACTTCACCCAAAGTTTCCCACGCGCAGTTACCCAAACAACGTGCTAAACCAAAATATTGGTGCCACATAAACCTTAATTGGATCCGCGAAACCAATTTTGAAATGAGAGGAAACGCTCGTTATTTCATGGTTTACAGAGCCTGTTTCAACTTAGCAGAAATGATTTCATGTCATAAAGGTGAATACAACGTGAAAATTTTACAAAATCGAGAAGTGTGGTTTTTGTTTGTTCAATTTTCAGCTTTGTTGTTCCTTCTAAGTGTCTGAAAACTTCGAGGCAGCAGAAGTATTTCAAAAGATTTGAAAGAAAAACATGCTACATGTAGATAGCCACATGTTTGGCAGCAATGGGTCAATTCGAATAGCCGCTTTCTCGGAAACCTGTGAGCCCACGTTCAATGGTATCAAAAGAAACTGTGATATATAAATTTGATAAACGAAAAGAAATTAAATTGTAAATTTCGAAAAGTTTCGATTTTGCATTTGGTGTCCATGTTTTTTTAGTGACTCGATAAACTTTGAAATAGTTTACGCATTGTTTCTGCATGTTAAAGGCAATTGGGATGAAGTGACACCGACAAGAGAGATTGAAAAAACGAATCGGGTTAAACGTGTCCATGAAAAAACTGTTCTTAAACAAGGGTAGATAAAATTCTATAAGTTTAAACTGAGTGAAACTTACTTAGCACTTTAAGAGTGACTTTCCGGCTGTCTTCACTGCCGCCGTTAGTTGTTGCGACAATACACGAGAACTCAGCGCCGTTGTGGTCGCCAGGAGCCGACAACACTGTCAGCGAGCAATATCCATTCGTCGAATACATCTCATACTCGGAACTGTTTTGTCGGCTCGACAGCAAATAAACACCGCGATATTCGAACAAGCAAGCAGAGTAGTCTTCAGGTATGCGACATTCGAAAACTGCGTTCTCGTTTTCAAAAATGGTCAAATCCCTTGGTTGCTCGACGTAAAAACTGGATCCCTGAGCTATCACGAAGCCACCCCTCGCAATAAGAATCAAAACCAGCTGTAAATGTAGAACTTTCATCACAACTAACATCAATTTTATCTGCCGATAATAACCTGCACAATAGGAATTGGAATGCTTTCGACGTAACTTGCAGCAAATTTTTTCAAATTTGTTTTTAAATGATTTTTTTCTTCACGTAATTATGAGTTTTGATGAGTGTTAAATTGTTAAATTTCAGCTAGCAAGACAAAAGAATAAAGAGGCTTCTGACAGCTAAGTAAAGATGGTCAAAGTTGTCAATGCTGGTCTAATCAACCAAATTTTTTTGTTGATTTCTCTCTACAAATTATCGAGCTATTTTTCGTGTACATACTATAAGGCCAAATTAAAAATAAATACCAAAACTCAAGCAAGTACTGCGTCGAACAAATAAAAACATGAAAGTTTAATTATACAATTCGTTTTTATATAAGTCTGATAATAACTTTTAGACAAACGAGAAAGTTATAACCATGTAAAGTATTTTGATAATACACAGGTGATTATGAATTTTAAAAATTGTACAATTATACCAAATACTGTATAAAACGTGCTATCTTAAAGTAACCAGAAAAAGACGTAAATTAAGAAATTGGAAGAAGCAATTTGTTTAAATCGAAGAATCAAAAAATATGATTCTCTAAATAGGCTTGATTAACTTGGAATATTTAGAACTGGTTTGCAAAATTCGAGATTGTTTTCATACTTTTGCGCTGAAGCACTATTTTTTTCTACCAAGCAGATGTCTCTTGTCGAAACAGGGAGTTCAAATTTCGAGAAAAAAAATAAGTAACACTGAAAAAAAGTGTTCAAACTGTCATTAAAAAATCAGTATAAGAAAGCTCTGCAGACTTTTGTACTCCGTGTCAAAATTATAATTTTAGGCGTTATTTATGGAATGTTTTTAATGATTCTTTTTTTACTTCAGTCAGGTGATAAAACTTCTGGTAATAACGCGGTGGCAGTCTAGAAATAAAATATTCGCGTCTTTTGAAGTCTCAATGCTGAAAAACCAACTTCAAGCAGAAAATAATTATTTGTGAATTTTGCAAAAAGTATATTATTCTGACATTGCTTGCGTTAGACTACAAAAATTCTAACTTTGAAATAGGAAAGTAATGATAAAATTGGAGGCTTTTTATTGTTACTTTTGAATTGTAATTTACCTGGAACAATGTAAAGTTGTGATATAAATAACCCTAAAAATGGAAATTATTGAAATAATTTCCTTAACTTAATCCTAAATAATCCAAGAACCTATTTCTATTTGAAAAGATCTGATTAACATCGCCAAGTTCAGTGTAATTAACTAATTTTCTCAAAATTGTGAATGTATAATTTGAGACAAATAAATACAAAAATATCACAAAGTGAAAAGAACCAAACAAAACAGTAGTGTTCTAAAGTAATTTCCATAAACGGGAGCTCCATTTTGAGGGAAAAGGGGAAATTTCAGCCAATGTAATTTCGCCAAAGTTTTCTGCGCTTCATTTAGAAATATAAAAGTAGCCTTTGATAATAGATAAAATATACAAAACATTAAGCGAGTCAATCTAACATATTTTTGAAGCAGGAATTATAAAAGTATTGAATAAAAAAAAGCAAACCGAATGAAAAAAGTCTAGAAAGGGTTGTTAGGAAAGAATATTCTGAGAAAACTAATGACGCGCCTTCAGCTGTAAAAAAAGGAAGAAAACAACAGTTTTTTATATCTTTATAACATATAATTGCCACTTTGTGCATAACATGCAGTTCTGTTTAACTTGTTCATTCAGTTTATTTGGTCAGAAGTTGGATGCTCGAAGTTCGTCAATATTGGCCAGTATTTTAAGGAGTCTTCATGTTAAGTTAGTGTACAAGAAATAGAGAGATTTGACAGAACATCTTTAATCGGGGTCCTTTGTCTTTCGCCCGGAGAAATGTTGACCTCGTAAACTGGTTTTGATAAGTTATTATTATTATAGATCCAAGATTGGACCTCAATCAAACTCCAACGAACTCTAATTTCTATCAATTTTCTGAATATGACATATCTATCCAAATAACGGAAAAAAAGTGTAACTTTTTGCCAAAAAGTTTATGCTATGCGATTGATGCTGAAAAGTTTCGTTCACGTATCAACCCTATGTTTTGCAGAAGAGGGTAGAAAAATCTCTGAAACTGAAACTCATCAAGACCTTGAAGGGGAAAGATTTGTAATAATGATGGGATTAAGAATAGGCGCAATTTGCTTCCGATAGAAGAAGTATGACTAACAGTTAAGTAACTGTATTTGTTCACACTTTCAAAGACACAGTTACATGACAATGATTTCAATTGAAACCTACTCGAGAAATCGTTCGATTGATTGATGAAAATCTCAACTAATGTACAAAAACACCAAAGCTAACACAAATTAGTAATGCTACGATGCAATAAAAAAATAAAATATCTACAACTAGTATTTTGTTGTTATGAAATTATTTTTAAAAAGGTAGTTTTTGCAATATGGTTTGTGCTACGAAATTGTCACGGTTTTCACTACGATCAATCAGAAGTATTCAATTAATTTAACTGAACACTTCATATTACCAAGAACGAAATTAGAATGTCAAACCACAAAAATCTGTCGGCTTTTGTTGAAACGGAGGGTTGATGGAGGGTTGATGACCATGTAAAACCAAAAAAATGTAAATCGGAAGTATCTACAAAAACAGTTCTTAATACTTTATCTGTATTTTCGTTTATTTCGATTTTTTTTTATAAATGTCTCAAAAAGTCAGGTTGCAGTTTGTTTGAGGATAAAATTTGGTATAAAATTTCGGTATTTTCTGACTGAACTACCTTTGCAGAAAATTTGTTTTGTTTTCTGCAAAACAAAAGAACTTTCGTTTTGTTTGTTAAGTTAAAAAAATGGAGTGAGGTAATATTTAGCAAATAGTGTCAACAAATTGATGAAAATTCAACCATTGTCTTGTATGAAACACAAAAATTAATATTACCTATAAAATCCATTTTTTTCGAGATGTTTTGATTTTTCTATTGTTCGCTCAAAATTAGCTAAATGATTTTTTATCATTTTTGGAAATTAATGGAAATTTATTTGCCGAAAACAACGTTTTGTGAATCGCAAATTGGCAAAATTTTCATTTTTTGAGTTTCTATGTGAGTCATAATCAAAATATCAGCGGCCCATGAGCAGAACCCCGTAGAACATTGTATCTAATTGCAACAATGTTGAACCCCTGTTTTGACAAAATGTCTTGAAATTGACTGCTTAACTACGGCTGTACGAAACTGTGGCATATGCCACAATAACTATAACTTTTCTCTTTTTCAGAAGAATACTATAAATAATTGTGCCAAATTTTTTTCTGAAATCTGTATAAAAAGCCTTTTCCAGGTTTCCGAAGCATATGCTTGATATAAAAATTTTGGATAGTCTAAAGATACCCGCACTGACAAAAATGGATTAGGATCAATTGCAGTATGAAAAACTACGTTGATTAAATAAAAAAGATTAAGATTGATTTGAATCAATTTAAAATTGATTTAAATTGATCTTAAATCCCAGCTAAAAAACTGATGCAAATTGAGTTTACATTAATTTAAATTCAATTTTTCCAGTCCAGTCATAGTTTGTTTTTATTTTTAAGGGGATTAAAACGGATTTAAATTGAATTTTTTCCTTCGAGTTTCATCAGTTTGGAGTTTTTATTGCTTTTATTCATTGCCTATCATTTTAAGTTATACATCGATAGCGTATTGTAGCTTTAAAAAGACCAAATAAAAAAACAAATTATTGATAATATGACTTCCTCGCATTTTTTTAGTTCAAAAACTGATCTATATTGGCTCTTTTCTTGATTCGTTTCAGAAGTTTTTGCTCAAAATCTGATTTTCATTTATGATTTTTTTTTATTTGTTTGCAAATTTTTAGATCAAAATTTAATTTATTCTTACCCTGTTTTTGTTCTTTACATAGTATTTTGCCCTTTATCTGAGTTACAATATTTTTCTATGATTTCATTGCATATTTTCGAGCTTAAAATTTGATTTATGCAGATCTTTTTTTGAGTTCTGTAACATCTGGCAGGTGTGTTTCTATTTAGAAAAAACCGAGAATAAAATATTTCAATTATTTATTCTAAAGAAGAGTACGTTTTGCTGTCTTGTTGGCAAACAAATTGAGTTTAGTGAGTCTGAGCCTAATAGATAAGAAGTGCAACGAGGCATGGTAATTATGATAATAAATGACGAAAAGACCGAAAGAGAAGATAGATGATCAGATCATAGGCCCAAGACCATGCGAGTGAAATTTGATAAGAAAAAAGAGAAATGCCACAGACAAAAAACAAACAAATCAAATCGGCGAAATCGAGAAATGAAGAGAAATTTCTAGAAAACCAAGAAAGACTTGAAAGGGAAGAAATGAGCACCGATGCGACATGGAACCAAGTAACGAAAAGCATGCTGAAATGTGTTACGGAAACATGAGGAGCTTAGGACACGAGAAATACAACAATTCAATGGCTGCGAAGACACGAAGAGGACGACAAAATCTCAAAAGTGAAACTAAAAAAAGGTAAGTGAAGGAGACTGAAAAACGAATTATATGGTAGGTGAAGAAGGCAATCAGAATAAAAAAGCTGGAACTGCAACGCGAAAAAATAATGGAACAAATAGGAGCAACTAGACGGGAATACAACGGAAGCTGAAAGGTTGGGAAAACGAATGATACGAAGCGTTTGTCATAGAATGTGAAGAAGCAATGATTAATAACAACACGATACAGGTGTACAACAAATTGAAACAAGATGGCCCTGAGACTACCAAACAACGCGGGAAGACTCCTTATACCGGTAGCAAATCCAAAGAACACTTCTGGAGAATACTGAAAACGAGAGACAAGAAAACGATCCAACAAAAAATTTAAGCAAGAAGATGGACAAACAAAGTGGCAACAGCATCACAAGAGCAAAAACTAGCCGCGGTTAAGCTAAAAAAACTGAATAAACGGAGAAACATACGAGGCATGGGAACAAACTAAGGAGAAAGCACCAGGGGAAGATAACGTGCCAATAATATAAATCAAGGCAGCTACCAAAAAGAAAAACGAAAAATAGCCGAAACAATTAGAAAAAAGTTTGAACAATCTGCCGACAAATGGTAAGATATAGTGAAAATAGATATAGTTATACCACTGTATAAGAACAAAGGCGAAAAAATTAATGTAATTAACTACCGAGGAGCAAGCTTGCTGTCAATGGCAACAAGAATTCTTGCGAGACTCGTAACACTGAGACTGAGAGACTGGGTGGAGAAAATTGGCCTTTTCGGCAACCATCCCGATGATTTATGACAAGGAAGACCGACAGCAGACGCATTTCAAGTAGTTAGAAGAATACAAGAAGACAGCAGTGAAGTACGATTAAATGAATCAGTAGGGAACATTGGAGAACAGGCTTGCTTGTTGGATCTCCAAAACGCAAGTCTCAGCAATAATTGTCCAATTTTATGGAAAAAATTGAAAAACTATGGTAAAGGTGAGATTTTGGAGAATTTCATGGACATACACAAAACAAAGAGTTACAGAGTAAGGATAGGAAAGGAACTCAGCAGGGAGTCGAGATCAGAAAAGAGATTACGTGAGGGATGCCCGAGCCCGCCAATTTTTTGCAACATAAACCACCAAGTACCGAAACGAGCAAAATGTAAATGAAAAGGGGAGAAAACGCGGGAATCGAAAGTGAATGGCTACTTGCACACTGCTGCATGGAACAGAGACTAGAAAAGGAAAATTGAGAAAAAGTATCGGTAAGAGTGAGAAATGAACTATTTGCGGATGATACGCCAATTCTGGCCACGTCAGATGAAATGAAAAATCGAAAGAAACAACTGAAAATATCATTAACTTTTTTGAAGACAAAAAGAACGACAGGAGAAAAAACCTTAAATTAGCAACGGCCGAAAAAACAATAAACAAGATTCTTGGAAAAATGGCTTGAGGAATCCAAAGGCTTAAAAACAGGAGTAAAAAGAGCCTGGGAGCATTGTTTAAAAAGAAGAAACCGTTGAAAAATGCATTACTAACGGAAAGAAGACAAGCGAGAGTTGTGGAAACGATTGTGAAAAGTGCAATGCTAAACAACTCTCATACCAGATCTTGGAGAATC